AATTTACTGATTAATATATTATTTAAAAATAAAAAAGTTATAGAATAAAATTTATTAGACTTAAAACTTTAAATTACACAAGCAGATTGTCTTAGATTTGATAAATATATGTTCTAAATTTCATAAAAATTGAATTAGTAGTTATTTATAATTAAATCAAATTTTATATAGTAAATTTAAGAAATAATAATTCAAAAAAGTTTATTATTAGTAAAATTTTTTTATAAAAGGTATATAATAAAAATTTAATAACTTAATTAAATGAGACAGAATTAAAATTTTATTTTGACAAAATAATCTATTAATATTTATCCAATATATCAATTTTTTTGCAACGGACCATATATACTATTTATCACATGACATTAGATATAAACTATTTTATTGGATAACCATATAAATATTATAAAAAAAATTTCGGAATCTGACCCGGCCGGGATATTAAACCATTTTTACTACTTTGTGTCGCCTAATCGTTAATTGATTTTCGCGAGATATAACGATAATAAACCGTAATATGTTTTTTAACTTTTAAGTGAGTAAACGGTTACAGCAAAATACTAAAATATTAGCAGAAAAAGCCAAATGATGTATTCGACAATTTTGCATGTATTACCATAGTCTTATTTTGATAAGGCTATGATGAATCTTGTCTGAAGCTGATACTTTAATATCATTTTCCAAGAATATTTTTCTTGCTATGAATAATAATCAATAATTTTTCTAATTAATAGATATGAAGAAAATATATGGCTTCGGGTACAATGCATTTTCTCAAACAATCCCCAATAATCGAGATATAATTATTAGTGAACCTACTGAAATTTTGTCTACTCGATGTACTAAAATAATGTGGGCAAATCTGACTATGACTTTGGGGATGGATGGTATAAACTATATATAATTCATGTGTCAAGCTAAACCATAAATATTATGATTTAAATTTATTAAATTTTATTTCTTAATTCTACTAAAAATAAATATACGAGAGTGAATTTAAATCCAATTGAATGGGGATTTGATGGATTATTAAATGGAATAAAATCACCGACTTTGTCCAATTTACCACAAAATGTGAAAAAATGTTTTGGAGATGACGTTTATGGAATACGAGGGTTTATTGATCAAAATGGATTTTTATATCAAGACAGAAAAATTATTGAATTATCCACTAAATGTGTTGACGTGGCTCAGTGCTGTACAGGTGGCGATGTTGTTGGTATTACTGGTAATTATTATTTCCATAGTAAACATTGTATGTTTGTGAATTAATCTGTAATAAGGATTATTATAATATTTTTGAGCCGATGGAAAATTATGGCAGTGGAATGTGAGGGAAAGAAAAGAAGCCGATGATGATTATATTCCTAAGCCATTGGAATTAAATCCAATTGAAAACGAAATAGAAAATAATTTTATTAAAGTAGTTTCTGGAGAAAATCATTTTCTTGCTTTAACTCGAAATGGCGAAGTATATACATGGGGGTCAGGAAGGTATTTACTTTTTTGTGATTACTTTGGTTTATTTTTATTATCTAATTTGAAATATACAATTCTGTTTATAGATATGGACAGTTAGGACATGGCAATCTAAAATCATTAAATAGGCCAACTGTAATTGAATTCTTACAAGGATTGACGGTCACAGAAATTGCATGTGGTGGCTGGCATTCGGCTGTTATCACCGGTAATGATTTTTTAATCAATAATAGTATTAATCATTCATTAATCAATGTTCTAATCGAAAAATAAAGATTCACAGGATTTATACACATTCGGATGGAATAGTCATGGTCGATTGGGTATAAATATGTCATCATCATCAGCCATTCAGAATGACAACAATAATGAAAATGATTATGACAGCAACAACAACAGTAATAGATTAGTAACAATAAATCCTGCTGAACCAAATTTGATTGAATTCAATCGTGAAGATGATGTCGACATGGATAGTGACAATGATTTGAATGTATTGAAAGTTTCATGTGGAAGTGCACATACTGCCATTGTTACAGGTATTTAGTAATTTATTTGTCATTCCTAATGAATTTATTAACTTAACTTTTTTATGCAAATAGATGATAATCAATTGAGAGTATGTGGCTGGGGTTAGTGATTCGAATTTTTTAAATAAATTAATTATATTGTATATATTTAATAAACAAATTTTTTATTATATAGGTAAGTATGGCCAACAGGGTCAAGGTCCAAATGATTTAAAAGATCAATTAAATTTTTCCAAAGTTAAGTTTAATTTACCTCACAATGGTAAATTAGTTGATTGTATTTGTGGACGTTGGAATACTTTTGCTATTTTAATACAAGATGAATCATGAAATAATAAAAATTTTATAACATTTATCTATACGTATTTTGACATTTTAATATGGTATATGTTATTTTTTGGTGAAACAAAAAATCAAATTAGGTGGATTAAATAATTTATTGATACTTTGCAGTAATCAATCATAAGTATACCTTTTTGTGGAAGTAAATTTTCGACTTGAAACTTTAATCAAGAATTACATTTAGCATTACGGTAATTCTGGCTAGCATTAAGATAATGCAGTTGGGCTTAGACAAATTGATATGTAAAAAAAAAGGCGACTTTCCAGTCAAACGACGCGTTTCTCGAAAATCTACCATAGATACATATTACTTTCTCAATGTCTACGTTTGTCAAATCCTTTTTATACTCAGCTGCTCGAAACTGCATTAATCAAAAACCGCCAGCAATTACTGCTTCGTTTAATAAAACATTGACTCGAACATGGATGGTACAAAGAAAGTCTGGGAAGGATAGTAATAATAGTAATAATAATAAATAATAGTTTCTTTTGTGGAAAAATAGAGTACGGCCGGAATAGAGAAATCACATTGCGCGATATTGTTTCCTGGTATTTGAAGTTTTTATATTGTAACTTGCGCTTGGCATCAATAACTTATCTTTAACATTTCAATCTTCAGGTCAAGGCGCACAGTACGTTGGCATGGGTAAAGATTTATACGCAAGTTTCGCATCCGCACGCAAAGTTTTTGATGAAGCCGATGATGCATTAGGCGGTGGATTCAAAGATCTGATGTTTGGTGGTTTACAAGTAATATTGCGCTGATAATAAAAGACTTGGCTAGAATCAATATAATTAATTGATTTTCTTTATCTTCTTTATCAAATAGCAAAAACTTACTCTAACTGAAAACGCCCAACCGTCAATAATGACTGTTTCTATTGCGATCTTGCGTGTTTTGGAGGTACTTCAAATCATGTTATTAAATATGTAAAATGTTGATTCAAATTTTTCTTATACTAAATTTTTTCTAAGGAAGAATTTGGATTTGATGTCTCCTCTGCATGTACATACGCTCTCGGCCACTCATTGGGCGAATACTCTGCGCTAGTTGCGACAAAATCAATTAGTTTATACGATGCGGTGAAACTTGTGGTGGGTTCATCTGTTGTAAAAAGCGAATTAGAAGTAAAAAATAGAATAATAATAAAATTGGTGCGAAAATAGCGATTACGCGGAGAAGCAATGTCAAAAACAGTATCGCAACGCGGTGTAAAAACCGCCATTGCCGCAGTTGTCGTAAAATCAAATAAACTCGCGGAACTAGAATCGTCGATGGATGAGATTCGCGCTAGTTTACCAGAGGGAGAACTTGTAGAGCTAGCGAATATTAATAGTGTAAAGAAATCTCTTCTTTGTTTTTGTGTTTACCTTTCATGGAAAATTATTGAATTTTTCTATATATTCAATTCAGTCTTTCCAGGTCTGTTATCTTTACAGAATTCTTAAGTTTTTTAGCAGTATTAGATTGTTGACACTGGCGACATCAATCATAGTTATTTATTACAAAACTCATTCGGGAGAAACTTTTTAACAAAATATTTTGAAATCGGTTTATTCCGATTTATAGGTGGTAATTAGTGGTACAAGTCTCGGCGTGGATCACGCGTCACGGTTGTTACAGTACAAGCAAATCGCAGCACGCGCGGTTGATCTTCCTGTTTCGTATGTTATTTCTGAAGAAAGATTTTTTGCACGACACCATCATTAATAATGACGCGACATTTATATATAAATTAGCGCCCCGTTTCATTGCGTACTGATGAAACCTGTATCCGAAGAACTTCGCAAAGCATTTCAAGAGATTAAATTTCAACCCCCTGTCGTAGAAATAATATCCAATGTGACCGCAAAGCCAGTAAGTCAAATATGAATTTCCATAGGAAAATCCATGTGAAAATTAAATTATGCTATAATAATTACATGTATTTGTGTTTTTATGGATTAGATAGCATCAGTCGAAGATATTCCAAAACTTCTAGCCGAACAAGTGACAGCTACGATACAGTGGCAACGGAGCATAAAGTATTGCAAAGATCGTGATATTGAGCATTTTATTGTGTTTGGGCCTGGTAGGGTGTTGGCAAACCTTCTCAAGAAAGAGTATCCGCTTGATCGGATAAGATCTATTACTACCGCTGAGGATATCGAATCTCATGCTAGGGAATTGCATCTTACAAAGCAAAGTGATGATGATAATAGTAATAATAATATTATTAATAATACTGATATTAATAAAGATTAGCAACGAGAATAATAAATAAAAGGTTAACATCTCTAAATGTTGGTTATCATGATGTATAAGTGTCACACAAATCTATGAAAGATGCAGGAAATAAATACAATCTATTTGACAATATTTTTCTTTTAAACAAAACCATTCATGTCGTCATTTCGGAAATCCCGTGTAATAATACCAATTTTTTTAGTTTTTATACTATTTTCATTTTTCTTACCGACCATAAAAGCGTGGGATCAAGGTTTGTTTTGTCTGAGTGAACGAAAAGATTTGATTCTATTGCCTCACCACGTTTTACATGGTTTTCTTTAACTATAGAGGACTATGAAATATTTGATCTAGTGGATCAACTCGAAAATGCAGAAGGTAAAGACGTAAACTTTTATTCATGGTTGGGATTGGACGAGACTGCCACTGATAAAGAAATCGGGAAAGCGTATCGGAAAATGTCATTATTGTTACAGTAAGTCTATTAATCAATTCTCGACGTAAACCTCCGATTAACGTTAATAGCCGTGTTATTCCAGTTATTTTGCATCTATTAACAAATAATTCGAAAACAAAAAGTCCGGATAAAAATCCCGACGCAAGCACGCAAGAGAAGTTCGCACGTCTCGGTTCCATCACCGCAATTCTTCGCAACGCGGATTCAAGGGAACGTTACAATTTCTTTCTAAAAAATGGAGTTCCGCGCTGGCGAGGTACCGGTTACTTTTATCGTCGTCATCGACCGGGAATCATCGGCGTGTTAACATTTCTTCTCATCCTAATCTCGGTTCTTCACTACCTTGTAATGTGGATAAATTTCTATCAGGAACGTAAACGTGTTCAGTATTATATTCAGGAAGCGCGTGAAGTCGCATGGGGCAAACGAATGAAAAGGCAAGAAACGCGGAAACGTGTTAATGTGAATGATCGTCAATTTGTTGTTGAAGGCGATTATATCGCGCTTTTGACTGATGATGGTGAAGAGTACCCGTTGGATATCGAGGGGATTGTTGTGCCACGCGTAATGGATTCGTTTGTTTTTATGTTGCCTAGATGGTTGTATCAACTAATTAGTGACAAAATGCGAGAAGGGAAAATTCGAAAGAAAGGAATTTATTCGAATGGATTAAGAAAAGCGAATAGAACAAAAGATACAGCAGATGATGACCATTTGTTGGGAGATGAAAAAAGTTCATTTTCTAGTGATGATGAACAAAGTGAAGCTAGCAGTGCTACTGATAATGGAAAAGTGCGACAATCTCATAAAAGACGGACTAATAACGATAGACGAAAAAAAAATCGAAAGTGAATGGATTCAACGTCATAAATTCGTATTTGGGATTTTGGATTTATAAAAACAATTTGTATTGATTTTTTTATTTTAAATTAATGAGGTTACTTGGATGGACATAATATCTTGTACACAAATTATTGATATTATTAATCTTTGCTAGACATAATAATTATTTTACCTTTTAATATAATATAGAATCGAATTATTATTATAGATTTTTATAAAGTTCTTTATACGGGAAGAAAAATTTCGCGAGATTAATAATTAATCACCCATAATAAAACTATCGATGAGTTTTCACAAATAATAATAATAATAATAATAATAAAAGACATGAAATCTAAATCTAAATTTAAATAATATGTTCGATGTGTTAAATACAAAAGAAATAAATAATAAACACAAGAAAAATAATAATATAATACAAGAATCATACAACTAGTAAATAAAATTTTATAATATAGAAATTTTAATGTCCGGCGCAGAAGACGAATATGGCGGTAGAAACTCCTTGATTCGGCAATATTTGAATGTATAAATGACGATAATGATTGTTGAGACTAAACAGGAATAGGAGAATACGAAGGTACATCATCAAAAGCTCTTAATTCCAATTCAGTTTGATAATGGAGAAGATGATCTTGATGAAGTTGTTATTCTTCTAAGATGTTGTGATATTGATTGAGGATATTGATTCTGATATGATGATAGTAGTTTATTTAGGGGAAAATCAGCTGAATCACGAGTATTATCCATAGAATGTCTTGATAAGGATGTCATTTATAATCAATCACCCATGATGACGACAAATCAACTGTTGATTATCGACGATTATGGTTATTATTATATCTGGAACTTGACCGTACAGATCAAAGATTTGTCGATATCTATTATTCATATGATGCAATTGATAACAAAGAATGCCGCTGTTCTAGCAAGAAAAATCGAAAACTTCTCAACAGTAATAGCGCCTCCGCTCGTAATCTATCCTACGCTTCATATATATCAAGTAAAATAATTTTCAATTTTTCCAATTTAATATTTGTCAATCTTCCAAATATCACATTTATTTTTATTTTATGTTTCACACTAATATGATCGGTTTTTAATGAATAAAGTATCTTGTCTTTGGTCGGAACAAAAGCTTTGAATCGTTGATTCGTTTATCTGAGTATTGGTCCCCAGTAAATTTTGTTTCCATAACATGGTTTTGTGTTTGAATTTTCCATCTACTGCATGACATTCTCTGTACTCCTTTATTCCTACAGCGATTTTCTTTAGATACGCTTGTGATTTATGGAAAATTAGTCATAGTGGAATAGCAATCAATCCTTCTGGTCGAAACGTCATTTGTTCTATTGAGACATCGTATCCAACATCTCATACCACCACACGCTTGTAATCCAATTGCGCCCATCTTGTCGAACTTTGTGGTCTTAACGGATAATATTAAATGGATTGGCAATTCATTTCAACACTTTGTTTTTTACTGGTGCGAAATCTGAAAAATTTCGGTTGTCAAGAAATTATAGCTCTCACTGTTCCGTTAGTTCCATTAACGCAGGAAGATCATCAGACAATGGAAAACAAAAAGGGTAAATCCAGTGTGGTTTATATTCTTTATTATTACCACTAGTATTCGAACTTCATAAGATAAATCAATTGCTCCTCAGTGATTTTGCATTGTCCTAGTCTCTTCACGCCATTTCACACTCCCTCCATGCACACAAAAGATAGATGAATGAATTCTTTGGCGAGTAATGCGAGTTATACACCCAGATATCCTCGTTGGAAGGTTCGGTAACCGGGCTCAAATGTGAGATATGCTTTGTTGTGTTTTCCGGTGAACCTCTTGGTGTCATTTTTTTTAAACGAGACACGTTTTTCGTTTTCCCAAGAAAATTCGATGATTGTATAATTTTTACCCATCAAAATGGTCACCATTTAGAGACCAAAAATTACATGTATAATTTAGGACATTTCCGGATTAGCGACCGGTTTTTAACAAGAACGACCGTGTATAACACGAATGACAGTTGACATATGTTGCATGATTTAAACTTCCGAATATAAATAAAATTGGTAGTTTAGCTCTTAATATGAAATTATGTATATGTTTGGAGAGAGGATATTAATTGTTATATAACCTAAAAACATAATACAGGCAACCTATAAAGTGCCTTTTAATTCAAAATCTTTTTTAATTGTCAATATTTCTTGAAAGTAAATTATGGGCCTAATCATACTATAGGGAGTCCGACTGCCTCGGAAGTCACGAGAGCGCAAAATTTTTCATTCTACACACCGAACTTGTATCACGTATTATCGTGTGAATTTATGTAACATTTCTTAGAAACATCAAAATTTCAGAAATTTTTTATACGCTGATTATGGATTCTCTTGCTAGTATTCTTTTTGGCAATGTTGACGAAGAAGGTCAAATTGATTATAATGGCTTGGATGAGGTGAGAAAATGGGGTTTGCTAAAAAAAAAAAGATATTCAAATGTTTTACTAATTTTCTTTAATCACAGGAAGTTATACAGTCTTTACAACATGCAACAGTACATGGAGGTGATTTGCTAGAAAGTTTGCTTCCGGAAAACACCCTTGATTTGGGTGTTGAAAAAACACGATCAAAAGAAAAGATTGACGATCCGGTTACTCCCCAAGATTCTGGAATTCAACCTCAAGAAAATGCTATAGATTACTTTAACATTGATGAATTAGCGGCAGACGATCAAATGGTTTCCATAAAATATTATCAGCAGGGTGTTAATAGCGTCTTGAACCTCAAACGTTCTTTAACATTACCTTCGTTACTTCCTTCACGTCGTTTATTGGCTGATGAAGATTATGATGAAAGTGGAGAATTTCTAGAAAATAAACAGTTATTCTCTGAAAAAAACATATCTAATAGTAAGTGTATATATAATGTTTTTTGTTGATCTATTTATTCTCTATGTATACTTGATTTTATAAGCCAAATTCTTTTAGGTTTTTCAGCATGGCACATATTGCCTGAAACTGACACACAAACACACCAAAGAATGGATATTACATCATTATATCCAGCATTCAAAAAAAATGAGGTGCTAAATTTTAGCCAACTCTTTGCTACAAAAGTAAATCGTCGACGGAAATTACACCCAAAAGGTCATCAAGGTAATCAAAACGTCTTTATTGTTAATATACTTGATAATATAATAAATTCATTATACTTATTTTTTTTTAACCTCAAGTCACAAATTTAGTTCAGCCAGAATTTATTTCTGAAGAAGATGATCGTAAAGCTTTTGAGCAACCTACGCCTCAAATTGATTACAATAGACCTCTTGAAGCTATAGACAATTGTCCACAAGAAAAGTCTGAAAATCAAAGTTCTTTGCCGTTAATAAGAAAATATGAGGACGCTTTTGATGAGGTTTTTGATTTCGGGAATCTTAACTGTGATTTTCTTCTATTTTTCAAATATTAAACCGTTGATTTTATTTTCTTCTATAGAAAGATGAGGATATTTTCACTAGAAATATCAAAATACCCGCTATTGAAAAGAAAAATATATTTGCACCACTTATAATAGATACTTGGGAAGAAGATATAGTTTGGGATTGTGACAACTCTGATAGGTATATTATTCTCTTATAATTTCCTTATGAGATTTGCTTTTTAATAAATTGCGAATTTCAAAGATTTTTTTGTTTATATCTTTAAAGCATACCTCACATTAAAACTTCCGAACGGGTAATTTGCGTAAAATCATGTTGATTGAGAAATTGTTTATAAATGAATCTCCACAAACTTTTCAAATTGAATATTATAGGAATCTCAAAAATCACCAAAAATTTTTGAACAATTGCAAAGTGAAGATTGGACGGATTCAATAATATGGGACATACCTGAAAGTCAAGTATCATCTGTTAATGATGGTTATTTAGATATGAGAATCTCCGATAAACATTTGGATTCCGTTTCTATGGGTGTAAAGAATAAAGGTAAAGATGAGTATTAGTTTGATATTTACATCCTTTGTTTTGAGAATGTATCTGAAGATATGATGATTTTTTAATTGAAATAGCGCAGATGCTAGACATGAACGACGAAATAACAAAGGTAAAATTAAAATTTTACTTTGTTTATCCTTATTTGTTATATAATTATTGTATATTGATTAAATTTGTTCAACCTGATTTGATTGAAAGACGCGAACTGCTTCAGAGCAGTTACCAGGTTTAGATCGGTTCAATGTCTCGAGCGACATCTCATATGAACCCGTTAGTGAAGGAAGAGATCACAGAGTGAGACAAACATACGGACAACTTGTTGTGCAGCATTCCTTGCCTGCTTTGAGATTGCAAATGCCATATGTATGGTCATATTTGATAAAATTTTTTGAAGCAATATTATTTTAAGAGGTTATTAATGATTTCATATGATACATATAGTTCAAAGCAAAACTCACAAAGTCCGAGCTTCGTGCTTTTCACCGTCCATCAATACAATTTTCACTTGATCAGGAAATTAAATTTTCCAAAGTCAATACTCATAAAAAACATAAAGCAGGCATCAATAAAGTAGCCGAAGCGATGCGTAATTCGAAAGAGTTGACGCTTAAAGACAATAGTAATTTCATATTAATGGAATATTCGGTAGCTTGATTTTTCTTAAGACGTTTTGTTGTTATCTTGAAAAAATATAACTTTACTTTAAACAGGAAGAATATCCTCCAGTAATGTCAAATATCGGTATGGGCAGTCTACTATTAAATTATTATCGTAAAACTGATCCAAGTGATACAACTGTGCCAAAAGTAAGTTGAACCTTTGATTTAACGGACAGTGGCTTGATTTATTAAACATTAATATTATAATAATAATAATAATAATTATTATTATTATTATTATTATTATTTTAATAATTCATTAAAGCTCGACATTGGTGAACCAGTAATACTAGATGTAGCAGATGCATCTCCCTTTATGAATTTCGGGAATGTTGAATCTGGACAAATTTTACCAGCTGTCTTTAATAACCTAATTAGGGCGCCTTTATTTATGCATGCGCCTAAAGACACAGATTTCCTTGTTATCAGGTTTGATTGTCTTTTTCCCTTGTTAATCGAAATATACAAATTACAAAATACAATTTTATTAATTCTCTAATAAAAATTCCAGAAACACCTACAAAGGCAAGACTAAATACTACGTACGAGAAATACGTAATCTTTTTGTGGTTGGTCAAACTTACCCACTACAAGAAGTACCCGGACCACATTCAAGAAAAATTACTACAACAATTAAAAATCGACTTCAAGTGGCAGCTTTGAGATTAATGAAGAAAAACCCTCATCATCGTCTCAAATTTGAAAAACTTCAAAAACAATTTCCTGAATATACGGAGTTGCAAATTAGACAACGATTAAAGGCAATTTGTTTTTTCATTTTTAATATATATATATATATAAAATATTCTTCCAGCAATATATTAACGAATATTGTATTATATTCATAGGAGTTCGCTGAGTTACAGAGAACTGGTGCAAATAAAGGTTTTTGGAAGTCAAAGTCAAAAAATTTACCTAATGAGGAACAACTGAGAAATATGCTGACACCAGAGATGGTAGTTTATGCTCAATATAATTATTAATGGTGTCTGTTATTATAATAATTACAAAAAAATAATTTGATACACTTATGATAGATCTGTTTATATGAAAGCATGTTGGTTGGGCAACGTCATTTACTCGATTCGGGATATGGAAATGTTGGAAAATCTGCGAATGGAGAAGACGAAAGTGATGAGTCAAAGCTTTCTATTGAAGAACAGTTGGCGCCGTGGATTACTACTCGAAATTTCCTAAACGCCACACAGGTATTATTATCTATTAAAATGATTGGCATTCTACTACTTAGTTTTAATGATGAAAATATTTTGTGTCTTTATATATAGAACAAAGCCATGCTAAAGCTTCATGGAGATGGTGATCCTACTGGGATCGATGAAGGTTTCAGTTTTATTAGAGTTTCGATGAAAGATATTTTCTTGAAACAGGGTGAAACAGCAGAAGATAAACAAGGTATTATATGATTTGATTTTGGTTAATATTGTTTTGTTATTCAAAGTAACACCTTATTTCCATAAGCCGAAATCGATAAACTGCCAAAAACTGCGCACAAATATAGCGTTGCAGAGCAACATCAAAGATATCAGGAGGAAGTAAGTGTAATATTTTCTCGTACAATGCTATATAATTTGACAATGTTAACGCAACTTTATTGGGTTAGATCGATCGAATATGGAATGCACAATATACTTCTTTAAGTAACAAAAAAGAAATACCCGATGAATTAGAACAGTCTGAAGCATCGATTGACAAACACTATAAACAAACGCAGGTTAGCTTTTATATATTCGAAATTCCTTAATGTTGGAATCTATTAAAGAATTGTTAATCCACAGGCTGATACTGAAGAAATTTCATATTCTTCGCCATCATCCCCTTCAATGTTCTCTACCGGAGATATGGAAGACAATTATTCTATTGATGGTAGTATGGGTTCTCGTGCAAGCTACGCATATGGATCTCATCGTAACAGGAAGCTCACAATAAGACATACGGTAAGATGCAGTACTTCATTCACTCTTTAGACGATCGTTTTATTTTTTGATCTAAAGGAGTCAATTTTCTTTTATAAATAGATGAGAAAGAGTAATGGCGAGGAGGAAATACAGGTTGAAGAAATAACTGATCCTGCGGTCATAAATGTATATATGAGACATATTCAAAAGCTTCAAGAAGAGTCTATGAGGTATTTACTTTGCTTCGGATTTTGTATATCTATGAAGTAAACTAATTTGCTCGTGACTTCATTAGTGCTGATCAGCTTGAGCCTACCGATGACGAAGAGAAAAACAAGAGATATAAAAAAAGGTATCATCATATCATCAGTGATAATATAATTGTAATGATCTTCTTGTTAAAATTTTATTGTTCCGTCTAGGATTCAAAATTTACTTGCAAAACTAAAACGAAATCAAGAAAGACGACAACAACGAAATGCTGCTCGCCTAGCCGAATCAGACCTAACAGAAAATACAGTGCCATCTAGAGACAAGAAATCTGAACCAGTGGTGATGTTTACATTAAGAATTTTGAATTTTTTCCAAATTATTTATACTAACCTACAGAAAAATCATTTTTCAGCGACGATGCGGAAAATGTGGAGGAAGGGGTCACATGAAAACAAATCGAAAATGCCCGAAATTTAATGAGGAGGAAGATCATACCTCTCCTGACCTTTCAATAGAACAAGAGCCTGTGATTAAAATGGAAGGCACCAGAATCTCTATATCTAAAGCTCTAGTTGAAAAATGAACGTAGTACTTAAAAAAATTTTTTCTGTTATCGTCATGGTCACACAAGTTGCATAATATCATCGTACAAATTTTTGCAAAATAAGAAAAATGATCGTTGGTTATTTTTAATTTTTTTTGTAAACAAAGATTCAAAAGATAAGATTATCAACGCAAAAAAAAATTCATACACATTCTGACTCTTAAATGAGTCATAGAATTAATGTTTGTATAAATTTTACCCTTGTTCATTCGTTTGTTTTCTAACAATTATCTAATTTACGAAATTTTACGTTAAAATGAACGGAACAACTTCAAATGGTGTTAAGATTGCTAATAGTGGGGTGCAAGTGCAGACACAAATTAACCCGTATACTCCAAGATACGCAGATTTACTTAGCCGAGTAAACAACTTTTCTATTATTGAATCAACCTTAAGAGGTTTGTCTCAATCATATGCTGATAACTTGAAGACTTTTCATTCTTACAACTTCAATTTGCTTTAAATAGAGGGAGAACAATTTGCCAATGCCTTTTTTGACACAGCAACAAAAATTGAAATCGCTAAAGCATTAGATGATTTTGGCGTAGAATACATTGAATTGACTTCGCCAGCTGCTTCAGAACAATCGCGGCAAGATTGCATTGCAATATGTCAGTTGGGTTTAAAAGCTAAAATTTTAACTCACATAAGATGCCATATGGATGATGCTAAAATTGCTGTTGAAACTGGTAAATTTCATTATTTGGAACTCAAAGTCTGAATGGTGGTGTTGCTTATCTTTGTGCAAAAAATTGGAATAGAATCATTTTGCTTGAATTAATAAATTTTAGGTGTGGATGGAGTAGATGTGGTCATTGGCACATCATCTTACTTACGAGAATTCTCGCATGGTAAAGATATGGCCTACATTTCCGCAAAAGCAACCGAAGTAATAAATTTTGTGAAATCTAAGGGAATTGAAGTCCGTTTTTCGTCGGAAGATTCATTTCGAAGTGATTTAGTTGACTTATTGAGCTTATATCGACAAGTAGACACTCTTGGCGTAAACCGAGTGGGTATTGCTGATACGGTTGGCTGCGCTAATCCACGTCAAGTCTACGAATTGGTTAGAACACTTCGTGGCGTAGTTTCATGTGATATTGAATGTCATTTTCATAATGATACGGGATGTGCTATTGCCAATTCATTCGCTGGTAAATTAATAAATCGTATTATTTGATTTCAATATTCGAATTTTGCTTGACTAAAAACTAAATTGGTTTTCCTAAAAGCACTCGAAGCTGGTGCAACGCATATTGATACATCGGTTTTAGGTATTGGAGAACGTAATGGTATTACGCCTTTGGGTGGTTTGGTTGCTCGTATGTACACAGCTGACAAAGATTACATCAAATCCAAGTATAAACTTGACAAAATTCGTGATGTGGAAAATTTGGTTGCCAATGCGGTTGGCATAGAAGTTCCTTTCAACAATTACATAACGGGATATTGCGCGTTCACGCACAAAGCTGGTATTCATGCCAAGGCAATTTTGAATAATCCAAGCACATATGAGATATTGAAACCAGAAGATTTTGGGTATAGTATCGGAATTATTTATATATTTATATCTATATTAATAATGATGGATTGATAATTCGAAGATCATTTATAATTATTTGAATTTTACATGATGAATAGCATGACCCGTTATGTATCTATTGGTCATCGCCTGACAGGCTGGAATGCTGTCAAAAATCGTGTAGAGCAACTTGATCTAACTCTTACGGACGATCAAATTAAACAAATCACCAGCAAGATTAAAAAACTTGCAGACATCCGGCCTCAAAGTATGGAAGATGTCGATACGCTATTAAGAGATTTTCACCATGCTGTCATATCCGGCGATCCTTCTCATGTCGAGAATGTTTTATCTACACCCGCTGTTAATTAGTGTTATTTATCATATTATTTTTTTTTAGTCTATGATCATTTCTGTCTTAATATCAAAAAATCTCAGAGTAGTTGCCCCTTTTTGATAAAGGGATTACGTTGCTGATAAGATACATATGAGGGAATGAATGTATTTGTTTGATGATCAACAACACATAATAAACAATTTAGTGATTAATGTTATCTATTGACTGATAAGTTGTTTGATTTCTGGATAATTCGAAAAATAAGTATTTTATCATAATCTTATTTTCAAAAAGATAATACTGACTAATAATAGTAATAATAATCATCATAGTTCTAATATGGAAAATAATAATAACATGGATACCACTTTCTTTGAAACAAAATATCAACCAAGGTGATTATAAAAGTTAGATCCTTTATGACCATTCTTACTACCAATATCTTTGTTATATTTTAGAAGTTGGATAATTCAAAAAATTGAATCAACAATCGAGAAATTATTGTGTGATCTTGCCAAGGGTAATCATCATCCACTTATTATTGAATCCGTATCAAACACTAATAACTCGCGACGAAAGGAAACATACACAAGGTAACATAATCACTGGATATTATTGAATAGTTTGTATTTAATAGTGAATAAAAATAATCACAATTCGAAAATCATACTAATTTAATATCAAAAGGTATGATTCTCAAACGCAAACTATCAGAAGAACCAATGAGCCAGCAGTGAAACAATTACATTTCCCTTCGGCGAAAAATCCGCGCAGTTTTGCCGTTATTATAAGACTCCTTGAAATATGTCATAATCTTTTAATACAAAATATAACTGCTACAAAACGGTCAATGGAAATCTTTTTTGACTTGATGAAATATATTTCATGGAATTTTAGTCATTAAATAATCGATTTTAATGATATTTTAGCGATATATATTATAAAGATGTACAATTATTTGGTAGTCAAAGTACTGTCGATATTGTAAGTAATATGAATCATAGTTTTTAATTATTTACCATAATATTCACCATTAATTACATATATTTCGAAAGGGAATCGATGAATTGGCTTGCCTCTTTCGCGTGCCACGCTATTGTCTAAATGTTGCGAGTATTTTTGCCTCAAAACCGGATTTTTTTTTAATAACTAAACCCGGTTTAAATCTGGTTCTGACCTCTTCAAATTAACCATTAGACCGCATCAGCTAAAGGCTTAATAGCTGGTCCTCTGAAGATCTTACAAAAAGATGGTACTGTTCTCGATTGTTTGCCATTAAATTACCAGGCATGTTATAATTGTTCCTTTTTAATTTTATTTTTCATTTATGATTAATATACATTATTATATAGGGGATTTTAATTCCAACTTTGGAATTAATTGATAATATCCTTTCTTCGGGTGTTTATTCACTTATTCATCGGCATTAATTAATTCTTTAATAAAATGAAATACAATTAGAACATCAAGCAGAGTTTACATTAGTAATCGAGAAAGAGGTATTATGATTGGATACATTAAAAAAACTAATTTGATTAATCAAATTTTTTGCAGGCCACTTTTCAATATATACTTTCAAGTCACAGATTGGATGAACTTCCTCCTTGTATTATAATTACTGTTTGTATAATTAATTAATTTCTTTCTTTAAATATACAATTAATTATACACTATAATTTTCTTATTTCATTTAGGGCAAAGGGTATCCGGTAATTCATTGTCACGTAATACTTAAGACAAAATTTCTTCTCCATAATTAATTATCATAATCGGATACAAACCACTAAAGGATGTAGCAACCCGTCATTTAGTCAAACTACTTGCAGATCAGAGAATGTCGAATACAAGTCTATCTCATTCATCGATAAATACTCGAAACGAGTTTCCGATACTGGGGCTGTTTGATAATGATCCTTATGGTAATTGAGGATGCTCAAGTGGAAGGAATAGATAATTTAACGCAGCATTTTTTTGATTATCTTCAAGGTGTTGAGATTTTTTCCGTATACAAATTTGGATCAACGGTAATCAAAATTTATTCGCACAAAGAATTTATTCTTATTTACTAAAATATTTACTTTAGTCAATGTCGTTCGATAATGAAAATCTGGCCACACCAAATTTGCGATGGCTTGGATTACATTACTCTGATTGTAGAAGGTAAAAATTCTCGATAAAAAATAATGATTTGATTCGATTTGCAAATTTATTTTATTTCTTTCCGGACATAAAAACAACAGATTTAATATATCCTTGGACAGTTTAGCACCATTAACTCAAAACGATAGGAAAAAGGCACTGAATTTATTAAAGCGTAATTATTTTAAAGATGAATGGAGGCAGGTAATTTTTTTATTCATTAATAGTATATTTTATCTTAATAACTGTTTAATTAATCTTCAGACATGAAATCTCGTGTATGTTGATTACTGGCAAAAAAGCGGAAATACAAAATCTTTGCCAAGATAATTCTAATAATCTTACCAAATATTTATCAGAGAAGATGGGAAATGATTTACATTGGTTGTGAACTTATTTATGGCAAAAATTATTTGACTAGTATGAGGCAATATACTAATCTAGAATTATCCAAATATATTCTATTATAATTTACTGTATAATAATCTATTATATTAAATACATTTTTAATAAAGATGCGCATGTTTATACGCGCGTGTGTATTTTATGAAAATTGTTTGGAATGTGATTTTTGATTTTCAATTATATATTTAATGATCGGGAATGTTTGTTTTGGGAGAACTAGGTGAAAATAATGTTGATTTAAAGGCGAGAGGTTATAATAATCCTTATCAAACACTTTCTTATTAGAATCGAATTAATTAAGTAAATTCCATATAAAATTTACAAATGACCAAAATTCAATGACAATGCTAACGATATCAACGTCACTGGCAAAACAGAATAAATAATAGATAATGAGGCATCACTTGTAGAAGCAGCATGCGCCACAGGATCAGAAGAGTTTGATGAAGTATCAGCCAACGAAGAACCAGTACTATTATTAGCATTAGAAGTGTTAGCTGAAGTAAGAGCAGGCGGTTTACCACCAACTTCAAGATATGGCGTAGAATCACCAAGACATTGTGGAACAGTTTGAATAGTCAATCCAGGTTGTTTAACTGCTATTCCTAGTACAGATTGCGCCGCTGCGACTGTTTGAGGGAATAAATCATGTTCAAGTACAATAAATCCATGTGTCATTGTTGGCAATTGTTTCATCCATCCTTGAAAAATTCCAATAACGTGATCAGCATTTTGAGTTTTAAGTCCAGGTCCAGTTCTCAATGACCAATCATCAGTATCAAATCCTTCCGTCCAAATTACAGCTAGAAATTGACGGGGAAATTAATATCTTTTGTTCTTTTTTTTAATAATTGTAAATTATAATTTCGAACTTACTCCATAAGCCAACAGCACGTGTAATAGCACGAACACGATCATCAGTATCACCAAAAGGAGGACGCATGTATATAGGAGTGACCCCGAGAACGTCTTTAACTGCCTATAAAGAGAAATTTTTTTAGCCGAGAAATTTCGAAAGCTTGATTATTGTCATATATAGTCTTTTGATCATTCTAGATACCTTCATGCACCACTTCAATTCTGCTACGATACCTTCGTTCGAAACCGAAGTAAGTGCGGGATGTGACCATGTATGAATTGCAATATTATGACCTATAAATAAAAATTAATGCGATTAGATGTTGCTTGATCTGTATATACCAATAGTATATAATAATACCTTTAGCATAAGCGGCTTTTAATGTCTCTGGGAATGAAACTACGCGACTTCCAATTACAAAAAATGTAGCTTTAAGATTATTGCTATTCAAAGTATTTAACAAGGCTGGCGTTGATAATGATGGACCATCATCATATGTTAAGCCCCATACACCTTTTTGCGGGCATTGAACTTTGTCATCCGGGCGAATAACTTTTTGACAAGTCCAAGACCCTTGATTTGGTAGAATTGTCGTTGGTGGTTGACAATTTGCTGAATCAAAATTAACTACACCACCATTTGATTGTGGTAAATTAGGTACATTACTACCAAGATTTAATTCTTTTAACCACTGTTGAACTATTGGATCATTTGTATTAGGGGTTCTATCTAAGGGAGGATATACAAGAGTTTGACCGTTTATAGTAACAGTGACACTTGGTAAAGGAGCAGAACTAGCTGAAGTTGATGGTGCAGTCGTTGCTGTACCAGTATGAGAGGTAGCAGTCCCGACATTTACCTGAGGCTGCCCAGCAGCTGATGGAGGAGCACTCCTGACACTATAGACACCAACAGTCGCAAGGATTGTTGCAAAGAGGGGAAAATATCTCATCTTTTGACAAGCAGAAAATGAATAAATAATTGATGATATTGGCTTTATTTCACCCCGAATGACAAGTATAATTAGTACTTCTAAATCTAAATCTTTCGAAGGGTAATGATGTTTGAGGTTAGGGTCCACCGACCAAGATAGCGAAAGGAGGGTAAAGGAGGGAGGGTATTTGCGACTATAGATATTAGATGTCTTATGAGGAGAAGGGAAAGGAAAGGAGAGAAAGGAAGAAACGCAAAAAATTAAAGACAAAAGGAATGAATAAAAGAATGTATATATGTATCAAGGCCAGCTTATAACCAACAACAAATTTGTTTCGTGTATTTTTTCATCCTGATTTATTCTCTCGGTTGTACGACAATGTATCCCAATTTAGGAAATTTATCATATAGGTGGTTTACGCGACAGATTCGAGCTAATACATTTTAATAGGCGCATCGGCCAATCGGTGAACGAATATAATTTTTGTAACCTATTATTATTTTGTCAGACGATCACGCACATACAATACATGCTAAACAAAACAGCACCCGAATAGATCATAATTAATTGTCTACCAATTTAATTAATTTATTATATATATTCAGTTAGTTAACGCTCGGTTTTTATTTGCTGCTGCATTCATGTAAATGTATATAATAATGCTAATAATTAAATGCATCAAAACAAGAAGTTTTTGTGGTGATGAACAAAGGCTGATGCTTTGACCGAATGTATACATACTTTTTGTTGTCTGGTTCCCCGTAACCAAGAATTAATTTCTGCGCATATTTATAAATAAAATTATCAATCACGTTTTGCTCTATGTAAAGCTATTGTACGTTAATTAGTATTATATCGATATATAGTTTATTAAAGGGAACACAATCTATCGGGGCTAAAAGTTAGTGTTTCGAAAAGAATTAATGATATCATAATCTTGTAGTAGCACAATTTGGTTGATAATATTTATTTGTTATTAAACTTTGCTTTTTTCTTAGAAATTTTATCCTTCTTTGGAATATTCGATGTATCTTCGGGCTTTATTATGAAAAAGATTTATGCATTTTTTGTTTTGTTAAGCAAAAATGACTCTAAAAAGAGAAAAAATAATATTTAAGTTCGAATTTTCACATACCTTTCTCTTTAAATTTTTTCTGCCTCGACTATTATTTTTAAGATTATGTTTATAGTGATTATTACTATTATCAGTGGTAATAGATCCAGGATTTTTATTACGAATTAATCTCTTTTTTAGAATAATATTATTCTCAACAGCAAACTCTACAATCAATCGCTTTTTGTCGCCAAACAATTTCGGATTATTGTTAAGGTACCGTAATGCAGCTAATGCATGAGCATGATGCGTGAATTCCAAAAAACCGTATCCTTTTGAGCGCGGCTTTATTGTGTTCAAGTCTATTCTATCTTTTGAGCGCACAATTTTGGCCTGACAATTTCGAATTTAATTAGAAATGGGAATATAAGTTTAATAATAAATACAATAAATCATTAAATTAATAATATAATACATGCTTGTTTAATGAACGGTTTTTGATCCCATCCCTCAATTTCCTCATTCTTAGACAACCCTTGTCGCTCACCATTTTTTACCTGTTCTTTGAATTTTATAATGCTCTCTTTGCCCAAAGCTTTCAATTGTCTCTCATCAACTGAAAGCGGAAGATTTCTAACTGATAGTCGTGTTTTGGATAGAAAAAGGTTGGGATTTTTCGCCAGTAAATTTTTTCTGAGCGAATATGAAGTGGCCCGCTTTGTAACTTCTGAGGGAGTGAGGGAAGCCGCGGCAGGCGTATCCGGGAATATCACTACACATCCATCATCACAGGTTCATCGAAATGCCATGTTTTTCTTTATGTTTTGAATAAACATTAGGGTGTGCTTACCTCCTTCTTTCATTAAATAAATGTTTCTGCGATCTTCTCTACGTTTCCTATCTTGATTTTGTTCTTTCAATTTTTTGGCCTGTTCTCGTTCGACTGCTCGCACAACCGACAAAACTCTGCCATGTAATGTGAATTTTTCTGCTTGTCGATCAAAAGTGTCAGGCATTAATATTGATCTGAATTGCAATTCGTTGCGTCTTTTATTTTTTTCTGTAACAGTAGTACATTCGGTGGTCTCGTTCTTAAGATTCATTTGTAATTTCTCAGCCTCCTCGAGACAATGATTTGCATCTTTTAGTTCCTTAAAACACACGAATCCAGTGCCACGCGAACGTCCTGTATCATTATCCATAGTTAAGACACAATATTGTAGTGGTCCAAACGAAGAGAATCTAAGATTATAATAAAGAAACAGATGAATGAAAATATCATCAGTAATATTATTATATTTTAAGAAGAAATAATACCAACACATCATGCAATTCTTCCTTAGTTGCCTCAAAAGGAAGATTTCTTATAAATAAAGTAGTCCCTTCGGACGCAGAAGGCGATTTCTTTTTAATCGAATTATCGAATATAAACTCAGCGTCAGAGTCAGATTCTTCTTTTTCCACTCCTGAATTTTCAATGCTTTCCTCATCATCCGATTCATTATATTTTAATTCTTCCTCTGAATCTACATCCACACTCATATCCATATCTTCATCCTCACTTTCATCATTATCACTTTCATCCCTCTCTCCATCATCCGTCAGATTCTCTATCGATCTTCTTCGTTTTGAGCCCATATTTCGCTTAGGCTCCTCAGTTTTGCTTTTTAGATCTCTAATAATTTCTCGTTGCCTGATGTGTTTAGGCAACGCGTATTGCATTTTTAAGGTGCGTTTTCCAAGAAATTTTGTATTTTTTAATGTGGTCAAAGCTCGGTCAGCGTCGTCTTGTAATGCAAACCGAACAAACCCATATCCTTTATTCTTTAAGTTTGAAACACTATTATTATTATTATTATTATTATTATTATTATTATTATTATTATTATTATTATTATTATTATTATTATTATTA